ATGGCATCTTGCTACGTTGCCCAGGCCAGCCTTGAACTCCTGGCCTCAAGTGATCCTCCCACCTTAGCTTCTAAAGTCCTGGGATTACAGGCATGAGCCACCATGCCTGGCTGCAAGTTTTAAACTTTGAAATTGAGGCATAGCATTATAGGGTCATAACTTATTTGTAAACTGGCTTTATAAAGTAGTACATTTTAAATAGGACCAATGCAGCCAATATTTTCCTCCACTAGTACATTTAAAGGTATAAATATTTTCAGTGTTTGCGTATCCCAAACACTGAGAATATTAAATAACTAAAGATCTTATTCTAAAAGGTGCACTGAGTGGGTTTTTGAGGCCTAAAAATTGTATACCAGTGCTAACTGGGATATGTCAAACTTTTTGTCTCTTAGTAGTTAATTTAGTGTTTTTTTTTGTTTTTTGGTTTTTTTTAATGTTGTGCTTACCTTTAGGTGTAAATGCAGACAAAGTTGGAATTGAAGCTGCTGAAATGCTATTAGCAAATCTTAGACATGGTGGTACTGTGGACGAGTATCTGCAAGACCAGGTAATGACACATTTAGGTTAAAAACCCTCTAACCTGCTAGATTTGAATATGTGGTAATTAGATTGAATATCAGTTTAAATAATTGACTTTCAGACACTAATTAGCAAGTCCTACTTTAGTAATTTAAAAAAATATTCTGGGATTTATAGTCCTCAAATTTCAGCCCTCATTTTACTTTACCTTTGCCTATCTACAGTGTTTTGCACAATTGATCACTCCTTCCTTCTTGAAGTATTTTCTTCCCTTGGTTTCTGAAATGTTGTTATCTTCCTCCCTCACTGGCCATACATTCTAGTTTCCTTTGCTAGTTTATTGTTGTTTTCATCTTCTCAACACTTTTTTTTTTTTTTTTTTTTGGTGAAGACAGAGTCTTGCTATGTTGCCCAGGCTGGTCTCAAACTCCTGGTCTCAAGTGATCCTCCTGCCTCAGCCTCCTGAGTAGCTAGGTCCACAGGCACATGCTGTTATGCCTAGCTAATTTAAAACTTTTTTTTGTTTTAATTTTTATAGAAACGAGGTCTCAGTATGTTGACCAGACTAATCTTAAACTCTGGCGCCCAAGTGATCCTCCCACTTTAGCCTCCCAGAGTTTTGAGATTAAGGGCCATGAGCCACTGTGCCCGGCCAGCTTCTAAATTTTGATGAGCCCCTGGACTTCGGCTTATACTTGTTTTCTTTTTCTGTAGTTGTTCCCTCTCTTAGTTTGTCCGGTCTCATGATTTAAGTACCATCTTTATGCTGACAACTCTCAATTTTATATCTGAAGCCCAGGCCTTTCTTCTTAACTCCTTACTCATAATATCCCTTATGCCTGTCAGCACCTCCACTTGGACGTGTCGCAGACCTCTCAAACGTAGCACGTTCACTCACAGTGAGAAATTATATTGAATATTTCCAAATATCTTTTTTATGGTCTTTTATCTTTATAGATTTTCCTTTCTACCATACTCTTGTCTCCTTAATCCCAAATCAGTAGTGTCCACATTTAGAAATGTATTCCTCGAGATTTCTTGACCTGTTTCTTAAGACAGTTTCTGTTATTTCTAATCTCTTCCTTCTTGCTCAGGTCTACTTTAAACTCCCAATAAACTCCCAGTATTAGTCTGTCTATTCAGCTGTTTAAAATGTAATTTTAGAAAGTAGAATAAACATAGTATTATATATACCAACTTGCAGAGATAGTTGGTCTAAGTATATATATAAATGTTCTATATTTTACTTGTAAATATTAATTTTAAAAATTCAAT